TGGTGAAGAATGTTGGCTTTACCTGTGTCTAAGTAACCTTCAATGTCTTAGTATTTTCCTCTGGTTTTACAGCTCAGAGGCCAAAGGGACTCGGGAAGGGGATCACAGGACTGTAATTGCCTAGCTGGAAAGTACCTTGAGGGTCATCTAGTTCAAACTGCTTAATAAAGGCACCAGCTTGCCTCTGGACAGTGAATCTAGGTGACCTCTTATCATAGGATGATGTCGAATAGGTGACTGATTCTTAGAATTTCATTTAACTTATTCCATCTGAATTTTCTGCACCTAGAAGCTGGTGAATTCTGGAATCTGAATGCAGAATTTCACTGACCACACTTGTACACAGGTTGTTTTCTTCATTTCTGATAGTGAAGGGTGTCTATCTGAAGGGAGAATGTCACTGGAAAGACTTTTGTCTGGGATACAGTAAAATATGGTGGAAACAATTGTGGATTAGGAAAGGGCACCTGGCTTGTAGTACTGACTCCTCTCCACTAACAAGCTGTCATTGATCTAGGGCCAATCAAGTTACTTTGCAGCACCTTAATTTCCTCTTCTGTCAAATAAAAGGATTTGCCTGGATGAATTCTAAGATCCTTTCCAACTCTAAATTTCTGTGATGCTACCCATCACTGCAGAAGACAAGTAGGGTTAAACAAAAGCTGAAGAAGGATTTTTTAAATTCAAAAATGATTTTCACTCTATACTTGAAACCTAGCGAAACTCAAAGTAGAAATCTCTTCTCTTTCCTCCCAAAAGTATTTGGGCTAACAATTATGTCCATTTTACAGATGAGGAAATTGAGGCTCAGAGCCTACGGTCACAAGGCTAGGAAGTGGCAACATTAGGACTCAAACTCAGGTCTTATGATTTCAGATTTTGCCCTCTTTGCAACACAACATGCTGTTGTGATTGAGTCACATTGTGACTCAAATAGACCCAACCTACCATTTGGTCTGCTTTTACAAAGGTAGGTAACAAGGTAAATTTCCCAAAGCAAATTCTGAAAGTGGAAGTGTTTGTGTACCTCAAGTAATGTCTATGACTCATCCTGCCATTTTCTTTTTGTTACTTAATGGTGAGAGGCAACCTGGAGTATTGGACAGAGAAATAGCCTGAGAGCCAAGGATACCTGGGTTTCTGTCTTGCCCCTGATGAATACTGGCCATGTTAACCTTGGCAAGTCACAAGCTCTCAGTGCTCCTGCCAATTTTCTAAGATGATTTGTTGCAGAGAAAGTGCCAACCTACATTGGTAGAGAGAATTTCCTCACCCAGGGGTTCCCTAGACTGATGAAATCACCGGTCTAGTCCCTATCCCTATTGTACTCAGTGGTGCTAATGATTATGAGTTTTTTTTTTAAATTGTCTAATATGAACTGTTTTTCTTTTAAGAGGGAGAGAAAAATTCCCACCAGTGCTTTGGTGCTGACCAATTGGACATTCAGAAATCTGAGACATACCCTCAGCTGGCTTGGTAATCATGAATAAACTAGCATCTGTGTTTTTTTTAACACATTAAAACAACATATTCGCAACAAAATCCTGTTAAAGGTGAGTGTTAATAAAGACTTGAATCCTTTTCTAAAGTGAAACAAGCTCATTATTAACCCCTTTCCTCTGACATCTCACAGAAAGGGAGAGAAGAAACCCTGTTACTTCATCCTTGTATTCAATATATATACAGGCAGAATGGGTGCAGAACCTTCTCTCTGTGCTTGGAGCTAAGCCACTGACCACCTGGAACTGTTATTCAGTATTCAGCAGCCACCTGCAGAATCTGTGTTCTTTGTGGAAAGCTCCTAGCTTTTGCTGGAAGGCAAAGGATGGGCATTAAGGAGCCACAGAACTGCCTGGTGTGGCCCCTGGGGATGGCAGGGCTCCTGGCATTCTTCCCGGAGAGAAACCTCAAAGGCTCATTTTATCATACTCACTCTGCAGCCTGGGCTGCGAGGAACGTGTGAATAATTCATCCTATGGTTTCAGGAAAGCTCTTGCTTTTCCTGGAGCTCCAGGATGCACACCTTGGAGCTACACATGCCAACATTCTCTTTGTTCTGGAAGATAGGTTCAGTGTTAGGTGTTTTTCATAGACAAAACCCCTCACTAATGCAGTCAGATAAGCATCCACTGGTTGTGGTGACCTGTGATTGAGTGTGGATGTGTTTTGCCATAGCAGGATGGGAAATATGAATAACTAGCTATTTAAACTTGCACATGAATGGTATTTAGCTTTTGACAGCTACAGTTTGATACTGCATCCATACCAGAATAAGGAGCTAAAAGACTGTGCACTGGTCTTCTAAAACTGCACACAGAATGGCAAAATTAATATGTTCTCTACCAAACTTTGGTACAATAGAAGAAAAATTGTTAATAAAGCAGGGAAATTAATGACTTTGCTTAATGTCCAAAGCTATTTCTGCATAGATCTACTCGGGGTATACTTGAGGATTTTGGTGCAAATGCAGAAAGTTCACCATTCTCAGTGGCTACAGTTTCTGGTTTATACGACCAATATAATATATTGTGATATATCATTTCCCATGTTGCCAGGAGGGGAGAGGAGATATGTTTATCATTCTGCACAAGTCAGGATTCCAAAAAGGTCTTCCAGCTATGAGACCTTTTGATGGTTTTGCCTATCTTATCTAGGCCCCAACAGAGAATCTCTGGGGAGCCTAGCCCTACTGGTGGGGCAGGTTGACCTAGTAATACCACGTACACCTGGTTAAGGGACTCTATAATGAACAGACTGTTATAAATGGAATAATCATTCATTATCTTGGAATGTATTCCCTTTTAGGAACTGTGATGAATCTTTGTCTAGCTAAAGGAGGCCATTCCCATGGTGAGCTTAAGCTAAACTCTCAAAACGAATGGAAACATATGGTAGGGTGACAATCTGATAGACAGACAATGGGATCCACGCTAGAAAAACTACAGGCCCAGAATCAGGTGGCAACTAAGTACTAATGTCAACTGGCATTGTCCCAATGGAGATTCTGTTATTCCCAAAGGCTTGGGCTGGCAGGTATTCCTAGGGCTGAGCCTTTTGGGGATATTCCAGGAGTTGGTCACAGGCCCAGGTCAGCTTTTGAAGAACCACAAATAGGTTACTTGTAGAACCTCTGAGATCTCAGTTTTACATTGGAGAAATCTAAACATTACAAGATTGAATATTGGCTTTCGTGTCAGGTCTACTTGGACAAGGAACCCCAAGACTGGAGGCCTACCACTGCTAACTGCCTAGGGATTCTTCAAACAGGGGTTTATTCCATATCAGATTTGCCAGGATACTACCAGGAAATTGATTCCTCCAAACTGCCAATGATTAGCAGTTGCACCAGGAGATAGTAGTGCTTTATGCATCCTGTGCTTTTCATTAATGGGGCAACAAAAACAGCCAGACACTTGGGAATGCAAACGATATTTGGATATGCTACTAAAACATCCATGAAAACACAGGACTCCTGCCCTGAACAACTACTCACCAAAGGCATGGGCTAATATGTAGCCCCCTGGACATATCTAGACTTTCAACCAGTTTATTACAGCATCATCATCAAAATGATCCCATTTCACTGGACATTTTGTCCAAATTTTCCAAGAAATATGGGCTTTGTGTTTGTCTGGGTCCAAACACAGCCTCTGAACATGGTTGTTCCTAATTGACTGGACATCATCATGGCCAATTCTGCTCAATGAAGCAATCCTTATTGATCATTAAAATGGCCAAAGCGATTGGTTCAGTTGTTCTGTGGACTGTTCATTTCCCCAGGTACAGAACTATGCTCTATATTCCATGGAACAAAAATAATACGAATATGGGTTATTAGTGTAGCATGTGAGTGAACGTGGTGGATATATTAATTACATCACAGGATGGTACTCCATTTATTTCTTCTAAGTGCATGATTGTTTTGCGCTTGTTATAATCTATACAACATGAATCCTTATGGAGAGGAAATGGTAAGCACATTCTATCCCCATCTCCAATAACAGTGACTATCTAGGAGCCCTGAGATACTAGATTCTTCCTTCTAACTTGATGTTATGGGTATTTATACCATGTTCTCTCAGATCCAAGGGATAAACATATATTTTTTTAAACAACAGATGTCACATCAGAACTAAACTCCACTAATTTTAACCTATGAGCTATCTACTAAGTGAAATCAGTTTTGGCCCACTGACCTGTTTCACACAGTTATATTTCATCATATGTCACGGAAGAGATTTCTTAGTATCAGCAGAACCAGGGAATGACCCACATGCCTTAATTAGAGGTAAATCTATCTCTCAGAGCAACGTGCTTGATCAGCAGAAGCTGAAGGTACAACTGATGCAGCCAGTATTGTTTCACGCTCAACCAACCTTCTGCTTTGAGTTCCAGAAAGAGAAGCAATGATTAAGGAAGGAAGCCATGAATGGACAGTTCCTGTGGCGTTGTGTTTGTGATATCAAGGCTCCCCAGGTCCTTTGTCCTGGTTGGTGTTGTTCAACTGCAATGCACTCATTACCCAACTAGGCTGGTTATCCCAGTTGGAGGACAAAGTTTTCATTCAAGACTGAACAGAATTAGACACAATGACATTTCATGGTCCTGGGAACATACTTAGAGGCTGCTTCTGAAGCACCTACTGAAGGCTTTTTTGTTTCCATTTGATCATGTGAGCTTTGCAAAGCTTTGGGGTAGCACCGTGGCATGACTCTCTTGTCTTCAGAGACAAGGGAACCATCAACCCAGGCAGTCTTGGTGCCCCTGGGTAGGAGTGACAGCCACTGTCTTTTCCAGGATATAAGCATTTAGAAAAGGAGAATTGTGCAGAATGCTGTCAATTTCAGCAGAGAATGCAGTTCATCATGTTTTGCGGTTCACCAAAAAAAAAAAAGAAAGAAATTGACACCTAAATCCCCAATAGGCATCTTTGGAATCAGTAGTGCAAAGTATTTTTGCTGTTTTTTTTTTCTTTTCCTACTTTGTCAGTTCTTTGTTCTTCAAGTCTTTCCTAAAATAGTAGATCTGCAATTTGAAACATTTATAGACAAAGATGAAACAAAACCTTTACAGTTACTCTATTGGATTTTTAAAAATTTTCTTTTAATTTATGGTTTTATATTGAATCCTTTCTTTGTTTTGCTGTGCACATGGAAATGTTCTTTTTTTCTCATTTTGCATTTAAGCTTAAAATGGATTAAAAAATTAAAAACAATTTAAAAATTTCTTTGGCATTTAGTTTTTTATTATATTGATTCTACTTTGTATATAGTGATTAAAACAATACTATTATCTGTCCAGTCATAGAGGAGACTTTGTCGAGAAGTCTTTTGAGTAATTCTCATCACCCATTGTGAATCATTTCTGACACATATCCTCTAGAGTCAGAGTACTGAAGATAAGTTAAAATAATTTGAGTTTTAGATTTTTGTAGACATAAGGATTAGTGAAAGGGGTTAGAAAAGGAATGATTACCTTAAAGACTTCCACCTCTCTTTTTCTACTTGGTTCTCTGGGCTTTCACTTTCATAAGAAGCCAGATAAAGACCTAGACAGAAACGGATTTATAATTAGATCCCTGAAATCTTCTTGATTTTTTGTTTCATGTGGGACTCCACTCTTTGTATTACATTTCTATGTTTATATAATTTGTTATCAGTGCCTCATTTGGTTTTATACTAAAAAAAAAGTGCTCACAACATCAAAATGCTAATTATAAAGGAAGAAAGGTCAAAGGGAGACCGGTAATAGATTTATTTGCTTAATTAGAGGTCACTGAGTTTTAGAGCCGGAAGGATACACAGAGGTTGTCTAATCCAATCCCCTCAATTTACAAAGGAGGGACCCGCATGAGGCCCAGGGACTTGACCAAGGGGGCAGAGTCAGTACTAGAAACCAAGTCTCTTGATATCTCAGTTCAGTTCAGTCTACTACACAGCTTCCAGAATGCATTTAAGAAAGAATTTCCTTTTTCCCACACAAGTAGACCAGCTTATAGGAAACCAGTTTATTAAGTGGTTGATATTTAAACAGCAGGGCTGCTAGGTGGTACAGAGGATAGAGCACCATGCTTGAAGTTAGGACTACTCATCTTCCTGAGTTCAAATCTGACCTCAGACTGTGTGACCCTGGGCAAGTCACGTAACCTTGCTTGCCTCAGTTTCCTCATCTGTGAACCAAGCTGGAGAAGGAAATGGCAAACTACTCCAGTATCTTTGCCAAGAAAATTCCAAATGGGATCACAAAGAGTCAGGACTGAAAACGACTGAACAACAACTAAAATTTAAACAGCGATTTGCAGTTTACATAGGATCTATCTTCTACATACCCTGTGCAGCAGGCAGTGCAAGTTACCCTCCCTTCTCCTCTCACCCACCCATTTTACAGATGAGGAAGCTTAGGCTGAGCAGGGTGGAATGTCTTGCTCATGGTCCCACAAATAAGGATTCGCCAAGTAAGGAGAAGTGTCTGTGGGCAGAGATACTATGAGGCACCTCTCAAACGAAGCAGGAAAGTATATAGAATGATGATGCCCCTCCCTATACAGATGGAATTAAAAGAAATAGTTTCTGTGAATATCATCATCAACACTATCAAGGCTCTAGTATTCAGGGAATTTTGGCCTTTAGGAAAGAATAGAGCAAATAAGATGCTGGGATAAGAAAGAAGCTTCAGCTCTCTTCTGGGCCCAGCTGGACCTCCTCCAGTCCAAAGGACAGAAGCCATTCCATTAGATTTGAGCAGAGGGCCCTTTAAGGCATGGAAGGACTGGCACAGAGAGGAGAGGCTTAAGGAAGTTGAAATACATCCCAGACAAAGGCTATTCCTCTGTCCCCTGCTGGGGACCATCCCCAGTGATACCTCAGCTTCATTCTCCTGGCTCTGATAATCATTTTGTTGACTGTGCCTGCCTGTCCTATTCACCCCAGGGGCTCTGTCCTCTTTCTGCCTATGATCCTGCTTGTGTCTATGCTGAGCCCCATTCCTGCCTGTGAATTTTTGGCTTTGCCACCTGACTGTTCCACCAAGTTCACGTGCAATGGAAACCCCTCAGCTGAGATTCCCAGCCACCTCTCTTACCTCCTTCCTATTCCTGGCCCTATCTATTAGCTGCTACCCAATGCCTCTATCTTGAATCCTTCTGAAACTGGGGCAAAAAGGAACAAATGCAAAAGAAATGTGGTGCTTTGGGTGACTTCCTTTGTTTTTGGTATGGGCAATATGTGTTAACCATGTAAGGTATAAATAAATCTATAGCAACGAAGGGAACAGCAGTGGCAAGAGCTCAGATCCATCCCTCTCTGCTGAGTTCCCAAAGAGTCCTCAAATACCCTATGATTCGTCACTCATCCTTCCATCTATCCTCTGTAAAAACCCATGAAAGTTGGAGGATTGTAGCAAATGAGTCCCAGAAGGGGATCTCCTTTGCAGGTAGAGCCTAATTCCTGCTACTTTTGTATGAACTTGACAGTGAAGCATCTGACTCAGGACAATCATGAAAGCTAGCATTGTGCTGCATCTCACCACCCACATCTGCATACAGCTGGCTTCTTCAATTACATGAGTAAATGACATAGCCTTTAACGATCCTAAATACCAAAATTAAATATAGCTTTCCTCCTACATGTGCTTGGTTTAGGAGCGTGATTAGGTATCCTTGCTGTCTGCCCAACAGCAGCACCTCCCTTAATTTAATGACACTTGAGTGATGTATACCCAGTATATACCAACAGCCAATCCCTAATGCTGTAGAGGAGAGCTCTCGGCAGAGTGAAACGTGTGTTTTTGGCAGGTGTTTCCTTCTCTCCATGTGCCTGGCAGTGTATGGCTACACTGTGTGTGTGTGTATGCTTCGGTGCATGCACACACTGTGCAGGGGATTGGGTGTGAAGGTGGGATTTACTCTTAAATTAAATTAAATTAAATTCAAGGGCATGGTGCTCTGAAAAGAGAACTAGTCCGGGGATTTGGGAGACTTAGGGTCACATCCTTCTTCTGACACTATCTAGCCTATCTAGCTCTGTGGTCTTTCACAAGTCCCTTTCCTAGGCTTTGCACGATTGCACATATATAACCTCTATCAAACTTCTTGTGGTCTCAGCGACAGGGGAGTGGAGGGAGAGAATTTGGAACTCAAAATTAGAAAAAATATTAGAAAATTAGAAAAAAATTATTAGAAATTAGAAAAAAATATTCAAAAACCACCACCACAAAGTCCCTTTTCCCTCACTGGGCTTCAGATTCCTGGTATAGACAACAAGGGGGTTGGACTAAGTGACCCATAAAAAGTATTTCCCACTCTGAGCATATGCCTAGGTCTCTGTCCAAGGGCATACAGTGTCATTAGGAGCACAAATAGCTGGGTGGCTGCATCCTGGGGTTGGGAGGGAAAGACAAGGAAAGAGTGAGACCTGTTCTTCATACTGCTTTGTTCACTCCCCACCTCACCCCTCACCCCCTCTTTTTTTTCCATTGTTGGTATTTGGCTCATTGCTGCCAAAGTGATACATTCTCAAATGGTCCATAATGTACTGGGAACAGATATTGCCTTTTTCTTCCAGTCACAGTAATGAGCCATTCCCATACACACGTGGCTTTCTGTGGCAAGCTTGTTCTCCTTATTTTGGGCTCCACAAAAGCCACTGCATTAAAGCCTGAAAACAATGTTAAATGGCATGACCAAAAAGGACTCCAGTGTAGTAATTTTCTTACAGGAAGACACTATTTTAAGATTTAAAGAGTGTTTTATTGATGCTCTTTTTTCCCACTAGCATTATTTTCTAGTGACCATCCCTCTCCCTAGTCCCACAATAGAACATAATGAAGTACAACTAATGAAAAAAAATCAGTGTTTATTAGCCACATCTGACAATGTAGGCCTCATTCCACACCTGTAGTCCTCCACCCTTCTGCTGAGGAAAGGGAGTTTGTGTGTTTCCCCACCTCTCCTCTTAACTCATGATTAGTCACTGTTTTGAAATATTTTAATGTTGTTTTCCTTTGCTGTGGTCATTGCCTTATTCCCTTTTGGGGGTAGGATGGATGTTGGAATATGGGTCTCAAGGGTTTGATCTAGGATAGGTCTGGTGGTGGGGGTCCAGAGATGCCAGATGATAGGGATTCAGGGAGGGTGGTAAATGGAAACCTAGCCCCACCTTCAGTCCCTGTGCACGTGCTGACTCCTCACCCTTAACCACAAGCTTCTGCATACCTTTTCCATTACTGAGTTCTTCTAGGTCTCTTCATCTCTTTCCCTACCATTCATCTTCATGTTCCTTTCTTGCCATTTACAACATCATGCTTCCCTTCACGGACATGACATTACATTCCTAGGCTAGCTCCCATTAGCATATTTAACCCCTGTGGCAGCTAGGTGGTTTAATGGATAGAATGCTGGACCCACAGTTGAACCTCAGTTCAAATCCTGAAAAAGACTTACAGGCATGATGGGAAGTTAGAAATCATAGCGGACAGAGCACCTCACATGGCATCAGGAAGAGCTCGTTCAAATTTGGCCTCTGACCATGTGACCCTGAGCAAGTCACTTAACCTGTCTACCTCAGTTTCCTTATCTGGAAATGAGATAACAATACTACCTACCTCCCAGGGTTTGCCCCAGTTTGCCTTGGAAAAGGAAATGGCAAACCACTCCAGTCTCTTTGCCAAGAAAACCTTAAATGGTGTCACGAAGAGTAGGACGACTGAAATGACTGAACAGAAACACTTCCCACAGTTGTTATAAGGATAAAATGAGACAAAATTTCTAAAGTATTTTGCAAATGTTAAAGCACTATGCAAAAGTGAGCTATTCAAATGATTATTAGTACGTAGTAGAAATTCTGATCATGTACAACTATATCGTTTTCTATTATTTTTCATTGCAAATGAATAGTTCTTTTTTTCAGTTATAATGGGAGTTCTCATTTACATGGAAGAGGGTTTTATTTTAGTTTAAAGAGATGGTTTGGGTACTAGGGCTAGAAGAGTCTAGGAATGAAACCACTATTTAAAGCATTAATTTTATTGTTAAATCTGCCAATCTGTCAACCAATTTACAAGTGAACTTTTGGAATACAACTTAATTGTAAATTAGATTCTTTCTGTGTAGGTGTGCCCCAATTTAAGAAAATCTGCTACGTAAAAATTTGAGTTTACAAAACAGACACATTTAAGGGTGATGATTTCCATTATACAATGGTGAAGAAAAGTATGAAAAAAACAACATACGTATTGGTCATAGCTAGGTAATTACATACATATGAATGAGTAATCTAGAAGATTGAAAGGGGATAAATAAAGAAACCACAATTAGTTATTACTATTTGCATGTTACAGTATTCTAAAATTATAAATATTTTGAATCCCTTTGTAGGGCAAAAATTAAATCCATAAGATCAGAGATTCTGAGCTAGAGGGGAACTCAGGGGTCATTTAATCCACCCTCCCCCCGCCCCGCATTTTACAGAAAAGGAAACAGAGGCTCAGAGAGGTTAATTGACCTGCGTAAGTTCGCTTGGACCTCACACAAAGATGCAATTTGAACCCAAGTGTTCTGACTCCAAATCCAACATATTTGCTTAATAAAGAAAAATAATAAAAATTTATTTTAACAAAAGCCAACAGGCTCCCCTAACGAATTTAAATGGATCTTAAAATTTTTTATTTAAAAAAACATTTTTAACAAACATTAGAACTGTCCTTGACTTGCCTAAACCCAAAGTACACCTGTACATTTCTCATTCTGGTGAACTGTGGAACAGCTGTACACTCTGTGGTTCCTTCTGATCTATAAATACATACTTCCTCCCACGTCCCTTACTATTCCTTCCTTTTCATTATGGAATACATTCTGCCATTTTTTTTTCTCTGTGGGCTTATAATCGGATCAGCTCTGACTTTCCCTCTCCTTCATCTTCTCCCTGCATTTCTGCCTTGGTGGGGGTGCAGGTCGAGTGTCCTACTGACTTAAAATGTGGTCCTCTCCTTGAAGCTAATTTGAACTGGCCTTGTAATGAGAGAAAAGGGAGTGGAAGTAACGAAGGGCAGAGAGGTTAGTTCCTATCCCTGCCCAGTAACCCTTGAAGGCTAGGGAAAGTTAGCCATGTCTTTTACCTACCTCCCCTCAGGACACTAAGCCTGGCTACAGTTAGTCTGGCCTGTCCCTCTCCCTTTAATCATGTTAATGACTGCTTTTAGGCAATCTGCTGAGCCTAATTTTCCTTGCTATGTTGTGACTTTCATGAATTCTGGGGAAGCACAGATGCCTATCCTGATTAACTTGGATGGGCCCAAAAAAACTTCAAAAGGAAAGAGAATCATCAATGTTGCTCTGATGGGAGAAACTACACTAAAGTGAAACCATCAGGATTTTGACAGCTGGAGTCAGGAGACCTGGCCCCACTCCAACTATCTGCGTGACCCGGAAGAAGTCACTTCAACTTACTAGCCCTCAATTTCTTACTCATCAATAAAATAAGGAGATAGTACCAGGAGGTCTTATAGTTATGACTTGCTGTGTTCTACTTTACAGCCCCTTCCAGTTATCATACTCTATGTTCTAAGACTCCTTTTAGCTCTGCCAATCTGGGTCCTAGATCTGGGAAAAGGCGAGAATTTGGTTCATAAAATTATTTTGAATTGAGGGTCCACAAGCATGTCTTTTAAAACTCATCTCAAAAGGGAAAAACTCATTCCAAGGGGGTTAGAGGTGACAGCATCAATTAGGATTCTTATCCCATAGAACAGCTGAGTCTATGAGGCATGGTTATGAGAGCGATTTCTGGGACAAGAGAGGTCAGGGCTGTGACTAGAGAAGGAATATTTCCTGCCCTGTCTAGGACAAGGCTATGTAGCTTATGTAATTGTTGAGATAAAGGGGGCAAGGATAGTGGTATAATCATAATAATAATAGAAGAAGAAAATGGAGGAGGAGGAGGAAGAGTAGAAGAAGGAGGAGAAGGAGAAGAAGGAGGAGGAGGAAGAAGAGGAAGAAGAAGATGAAAACAGAGACAAAGACAGAGTCATATGCCACGTATAAGGGGAGAAAAGAGACTACTTACCATCCTCCGTGAAGATGGGAGCTGTGTGTAAGTAGTGGGTGATGTTGGGATCTTGTTCAAATGGGCATTCCACTTGTTTCCATGTTATAAATTCCCCAACTTGTTTAGCCAGCTCCAGAAATTTCTAGAAGGAATGATTTTTTAAAAAGTTGATAGGATGCAAATATAAACTTCTTGGTTTGGCATTTAAAGTCCTTCACAGTTGGGCTCCAACTTACCCTTCTAGGCTTACTATGCATTATTCCCCTTTGTGGACTCTATTGTCTGGCCACCCTCACCTCCTTGTTGGCATTCTATCCCGTCTTGTGCCTTTGCACACACAGACCATTTCCCCATCCCTGGCATGCACTTCTGCCTTGCATCTGTCTCTTAGAATTCCTAGCTTCCTCCAAAGCTTAGCTTAAGAACTATCTCCTACAGGAAGCCTTCCTTGATGCCCCCATCTGGTAGTGTTTCTCCCCCTGCACGCATTAGTGTGTGTGTGTGTGTTTGTGTGTGTGTGTGTATGTGTATGTATATATGTATATATGTATATATGTATGTATTCTTTTCCCTGGTAGAATATATGTTTCTTAGGGGCATTTTTAAATTTGTGACTCTAGTGACTAGCACAGTACTTGACACATAGTAGGTGCTAAATAAATGCCTGCTGATTAATGTAAACTCTAGATCTTCCATAATTTGTCTAGCAAAAACTGAAAATTCACATCAGATTGAATAATGTTCAAGAAATCCATTGAGAAATTACATTAAATGACTTCTACTCTAAAAATGCACAAAAGTCAGACAGCAGCCCAATAGGAAAAGAGCATGTCAAGAAAGCCAGTGTCAGCACAAACAATCCCATAGCCATCCAAGGTGAGCAGAGAAGGACCAGAGACACATGTAACCCGTAGGGCTCTTTGTTGAGAGGCAGTAATATATAAGGGGTTCCTTGAGAAAACTCCAGGGTGGTTGAAAAACTACAGCTGAGGTGTTCTCCCCTCCCTTCCCCCATAGAACAAAAGGGATTAGTGGGGATGAGATAGTAACCAGTATGAATATAGGTCAGACTTGGATATGCAAGGGCTCCAAGGATCCTAGAACTTTGTTCTGTGATGCCAGAGGGGCTCCGAAGGTCCAGTGCTCTGAACCTCAAAGATCCAATGTGGCCTAATCCTAGTAGAAGAAGGTGAGGGTAGAAACACAAGTGACCCAAGGGGAGAGCAAGCAGGACTGTCCACTCCCTGCAAAAGGATAGGGAGGTGGGAGGTGTAGAGTTTGGCTTTGGTATAAAGCTCCTCTTCAGGAACTAAACATGGAGAAAGTGGTAAGCTAATGGAGACACTGATCAATATAAAAAACTGTAATTCTAGAGATACCCTGAAAGAGGAGAGAATAGCTCTGTAGCAACATAGGTAGTGACTCAAAGGGGGAAAAATGAATTTCTATGAGGACTATATGAATAATCAGAAGAAATTAGGCCAAGAGGCAATAAAATAAAAGATCTTAAGTGAAAAATGAGGAGGGGAATAAATAGCTTAGAAGAGAAAGTGGTAAATCTAAACAAAGTAATGGACTCTGTAAAAACCAGAATAGACCAAACAAATCAATGATTCCATGAGACAACAAGAAACACTAGAACAAAATTAAAAGATTGAAACAAAAAAGAAGAAAATGTAAGCTATCTGATATCAAAAATAACTTATCTAGAAAACAGGTCAAGGAGAGATAATTTAATAATGATCAGATTCCCTAAAAAACAATTTAAAAAAAAAACCAACCCTGAATAAGAAATCACAAATAAAAATTGCCCAGATCTGATCTGAAGCCAAAGTAAAGAAAGAAACCACTGATCACCTGAAAGAAAACATGAAAAGTTCCAGATATGTCATAGCCCATATTCAGAGCTTTCATATAAAAGAAAAAATACTATTAGGCAGCCAGAAAAAAGCAGTTCAAGTACCAAGGAATCATAGTCAAAATCATACAAGATGTGGTAGCTTCTAAAAAGAAAAAGAAAACGAAAACAAAGAGATATTGGAATCTAGTACTCCAAAAAGGCAAAATAAATAAATTTATAACCAAGAACAGCTTACCCTGCAAAGGTGAGCATTATCCTACAGAGGGAAAAAAAAGGATCCTTAATGGTAGTAGTATTTTTAAGCATTTCTGCAAAGTTAGATAGGAATTTTAAAATTCAAATGAGTCAAGAGAAATCTAGAAAAGTAAATTTATTTGAGCAATTGGAAGGGACTCTATGATGTTGTGGTGCTAACATTCTAATGGGGAAGAAGAAACAAGCATCCTTTCAGATCCTTAATATTTTCAAAGGATACTGAGGGAATTAAATAAGAAAAACAGAGGATCTGGGGGTAGACTGGTTCTGTTCTGAGAATCTGAAGAGGAGAAAGAGAAGAGAACATATAAGGAAGGAATATGGTGGTAGAGAAAGGAGGAAGGGGGGGTAGAACTTGCTATTTCTCATAAATGGGAAGTACAAGGAAAAGAATATGCAAAAAGGGATGGGGGGTTGGGCATCAGATCAACCTCACTCTTGTCTTAAACAAAGAGGTATTGAATACATTTACATATACAAACATATACACATACACACATATACACAATTTGGTGTAGAAACCAAACTCAATAGGGAAGCAAGGAGGGATATAGATGATGTTTAGAGGGAAGATATAATACCAGGGAAGAAAAAGTCACCAAAAAACACTTTTCTGATCCTGAAATGGGGCAGGGGGGAATCAAAAGAAGGAGAAAAAATTCAAAGGCCTGGAATCTAAGGGGTTTCCAATCAATTAGGGAATGGCTGAACAAACTGTATATGAATATGATGGAATGATACTATGCTGTAAGAAATAACAAAAGGCATTTTTTTCAGAGAATCCTGGGTAGTATGAACTAATGCAGAGTGAAGTACATAGAATTCAGGGAACAATTCATGATAGCTAATATTTATATAGTACTCACTGTGCTAAGTGCTTTACAATTATTGTTTTATTTTCTCATTCAATCCTCACAACAACACTGTCAGGTAGGTGTTATTATTATACTCATTTTACAGGTGGGGAAACTGAGACAAAAAGAGATGAAGTGACTAGCTTAGGGTTACACAGTTAGTAAGTGACTATGGCTGACTTTGAACTCAGGTCTTTCTGACTCCAGGTCAGAAGCTCTATCCACTCTGCCACTTGGCTGCCCTTGGACATGGATAACTAAACTGAAAAGAAAAATAACTCTGAAAAACTTAAGAACTCTGATCAATACAATGACCAAGCCTGTCTCAAATGGACCTATGGTGAACCATATTATCCACCTTGCAACAGACAGGTGATAGACTCAAGGCACAGCAACAGACACACATTTATAGACATTGACACTATATGGAATCATTTTGCTCAACCATGTTTATTTGTTGTAAGGGTTTTTCTTATCTTTTTTTTAAATTGAGGAGAGGAGGTTTGTTGAGAAAGGATAAGTTAGTAATAGTAACGTCAAAAAAAAAAGGAAGAAGGCAAACACATTTTTAAGTGCACAGAAGAAAACAAAAGGAAGGCCACAGAACGTCCAAACAAGATGGTTTTGAAAGTATTTTGTGGAATTTCTTACATAGCTTAAAAAAATGAAGCAGCATATAAAGTATTCTTTGGTTTTGTATATAATCCCCTTTTTGTGTTCTGTTGTGCACATAGAAATGCTCTTTTTTGAAGGGTATTTAAATTCAGAATAAAAATATCAAACTCTTGATGAACTATATGTGGTCATCAGAGTTCATCTTCTAACGTAGACTGGCTTCCCCCTTACCTAGCTGTGTATTCTCACTAGCTGTGTCATCTCAGAAAAAAGTAATTTCATTTCTCTGAGTCTGTTTTCTCATAAAAAACTTGAACCATCTTGCATTTATTTGTATTGATTATCTTCCCTATTAAGTACATATTTCTATAGGTACTTGTCTCCTTTGATAGAATGGAAGCTTCTTGAGGGCACAGGACCATTTCATTCTTTCTATTTGTAGCCCATAGTGCCTGGTATACAGTAGTCACTCAACAAATGCTTGTGGTTTGATTGCTTTGTTGGGATGATGGAAACTGAGAAGTTCAGTACTGGCAGAGCGCCAGAGACAGAGAGGTACAGGAGAGGTTTTCAATCTTACTTCAAAGTTGACATGTCCATTTGGAAGACGGTTGGCACATCCTTCATTCAAAAAGTATATGTCTTTGATTAGCAGGCTGAAGAAAGGAATGACTATCTGTAAAGGAAAGGAGAGAGGAGTCAGTTTTACTCAGAATTTTCCATCAGAAAGAGAGAGTCAGCTGACAGAAAAAAAGTTACTGAAACTTTTCTACCTCATGCAACAGAAGGTTGACAACAAGCTGCTGTCAAAATTCATTTGCTCTCATAAATTACAGCCAAATGCTGCAACAATGACGATCATGCCTTGTGTACAGCACTTCAGAGTTTATAAATCACCTTCCATCCATCATCTCAGTAGCTCCTCATAGTGACCTTAGAATCAGAATGGCTACAAACCTTTTAGAGTCTGGACAAACATCAGAAATGTCAACCAGGGGAAGCAGCATCAAAATACCCTTAAATCTACCTTTTTTTTAAAAAATTAAAATTTTTTAGTTTAAAATTCTCTCTTCCCTACTCTCTTCCCCACCTATTGAGAAGACAAGAAATGTGATACCTATTATACATATGGTTATGCAAAACATATTTCCACATAAGCCATGTTGTAGATGGAAAATGAAAGAAAAATAAACAAAGAGGGAAAAAGTATGCTTCAATATGTACTCTCTCTGGAGGTAGATAGCATTTTTTATCATGGGTCCTTTGAAATCATCATGGATCACTGACTGATGTACTGATCAGAATTGCTAAGTCTTTCACAACTGATTATTGTTACAATATTGTTGTTACTGTGTACAATGTTCTGGTTCTGCTCACTTCACTTTGTACCAGTTTATAGAAATCTTCCCAGCTTTTTCTAACACAACAGAATTCCATCAAAATCACATATCACAACTTATTCAGCCATTCTCCAATTGATGGGCATCCCCTTAATTTCCAATTCTTTGCCACCACAAAAGAGCTGCTATAAATATTTAAATCAACTTTTTATGAAAATTCAGTTGAGGTGAGGGGAACAGACCCAGAGATCTAGCAGGGCCACTCCACTATAGAGAACTCACTTGGAGCATGGTAGAAAGTGGGCATGTTTTGTATTCCATCTGGGAATTCCATCTTAACTAATTATTACTAAGCTAAGCTTAGCTGTTTCTACGCTGCTGAACAAGTAGAAGTGGTAGCTTTTCTTAATTTTACCAACCTCAAGCAAAGGTCCAGCTGCCCCACCCTAGTTATAGTTCTGCTCAGGAAGTAGGCAAGGGATTATTGTCTTTATTTGACAGTTGAAGAAACTGAGTCTTAGAAAGGAGAAAATGATATGTTCAGTTTCATATAAGGTTAGTCAGTGTCAGAGCTAGCACTTGGAAGTAGATTTTCTGAGTCTTAATAGATGAAACTGGTTCCCAATAATGACGAGGCTTCTGGGATATTCCTCCACCTTATCACTGGCTTTGGGGAATATGTTTAAGAAATGTATCATAAGCAAAAAAGGTTATAGAGCTTATAATGCAGTGTTTGTAAGTTCATTTATCTTCAGCCCACATGCTCTGAATAGGGATTTGCTTAAGGGATGTCCTCTTGGGCATTCAGGGACTTAAAGATTTAAAATTCTAAGGGACTATGGAGATCATATAATTCAACTCTTTAATTTTTTACTGATGAGGAAATTATGGCCTGGAGAAGCTGAATGAATGAATTTTATTGTTGAGTTGTTTGAGTCAGGTTTGACTCTTTGTAATCCCATTTGGGGTATTCTTGGCAGAAATACTGGAGTGGTTTGCCATTTTCTTCTCCAATTCATTCTACAGATTTGAAAACTGAGGCAAACAAGGTTAAATGACTTTGCCCAGGATCACACAGCTAGTAAATGTCTGAGGCAGGATTTGAACTCAGAAAGATGAGTTGTCCTGAAACTCTATCCACTGCCCAATGAATCAATAAAGCATCTTACTATGCGCAAAGTACTGTGCTATGTCCTGGGGATGCACACAGAAAAATAAGGCAAATACCACTCTCAGGGAGCCCATATTCTAATGAGTGAGACAATCCAGATGGGAAAGTTCTATGGTCCTTAGGGTACAGGGGCAAAACATGATAATGTTTCATCTCTGACTTCATTATTTAAAGTCACTATTTCCAGGGCTCTTGGGAACTTGTTAAGTGACACAAGTCACACAAGAAGTAAGTGGCAGTACTAGGATCTGAACACAGGTCCTCCAGCTTGTAATCCAGTATACTTGTCACTATAAGAACCTAGCACTCTATACTGTCTCCCTAAACCTGCCAGCCTGAGTATCTGCTCACAATTGGTCCTGGATATGTCCTCTGGGACTCTGCAACACAAGTCAAATTCTACCAGCCAAAGCATGTGAGATAGAGAAGGCCCAGGCAGGTCTGCCCTGCTGCCCATGATGCTATGAACATTCGCCTCCTAGCCTACTGTAATAATACCTTATTGTGTGTATCAGCAGGGAGAACAAAGTACACCTCTATAGACTCAGGTAAGAATGCATGGGAAATTCTGGGGGCCTGGGTAAAAGAGTGGGAGGCAGGAGGCGTAATAGATAGAGCACCAGCCCTAGAGTCAGGAGGACCTGAGTTCAAATCCAGCCTCAGACACTTGACACTTACTAGCTGTGTGACCCTGGGCAAGTCACTTAACTCCATTGCCTAGCGAAAAACAAAAACAAAAAAAAAGAGTGGGAGGCGGCCATCACAACTTGGCAATCAAGATTTGTGGAACCCAGACTGAGTGTACACAAGCTCTGGAGTCAGACGTTGTTGTTGTTTAATCATTTCAGTTATGTCTTACTCTTCATGACCTCATTTGGGGTTTTCTTGGCAAAGATACTGGAGTGGTTTGCCATTTCCTTCTCCAGTTCATTTTACAGATGAAGAAATTGAGGAAAACAGGGTTAAGGGACTTGACCAGGGTCACACAGCTAGTAAGTGTCTGAGGCCAGATTTGAACTCAGAAAAGTAAGTCTTTTTGACTTCAAACTCAGCACTCTAACCACTGTGCTGCCTAGCTGCCTAGCTGCCCCAGAGTCAGACAGTAGAGGTTCAAATATTGCCTCTGACACTTACCACCTGTGGAACCTTGGACAAGTCATCTAGTTTCCCTGGGCCTCAGTTTTCTCATGTATAAATTGATGATGATAATAAAGTATTTATATACTATTTTATGGTTTGCAAAGTGCTTCATATATATTATCACAATGCTGTGACACAGGTACTATTATTATTCCTATTTTACAGATGAGGAAATCAAAGCAGAGAGCAATTAATTTTTTAATTTTACAGATGGGGACTGAGTCCCAGAATGGGGAAAGGGCATGCCCAAGGTCACTCAGGTAGTAATGAGGAAAGTTGAGATTCAAACCCAGACTATCTGGCACCTAATCCTGCATTCTTTTCACTAAACCTCACTGGATTATTGACACCCCCAATGTGTTCATCTCTAAAACAATGACTGAAAAGTATTTTTTAAATTAATTTATTTATTTTTAGTTTTCAATATTCACTTCCACAAAATTTTGAGTTCCAAATTTTCTCCCTCTCTCCCCTGCCCCCATCCCAAGACAGTGTGCATTCTGAATACCTTTTCCCCTAATTTGCCCTCCCTTCTATCACCCCTCTTCTCTTATCCCCTTCCCCTTCTATTTTCCTGTAGGGCAGGATAGATTTCTATACCCCATTGCCTGTATCTTATTTCCCAGCTGCATGTAAAAACAATTTTTGACATTTGTTTTTAAAACTTAGGTTCCAAATTCCCTCCCTTCCTCCTTCCCCACCCACTCTCACTGAGAAGGCAAGCAACTCAATACAGGTTATACATGTGTAGTCATGCAAAACACTTTCATAATAGTCATGTTGTGAAAAACGAAATATATTTCCCTTCATCCTATCCTGCTCCCCCCATTTATTCTATTCTCTTCTTTGACCCTGTCCTTCCTCAAAAGTGTTCTGATTACCCCCTCCCTCAATCTGCCCTCCCTTCTATTATCCCTCTCCTCTTATCTCCTTCCTCCCTATTTTCCTATAGGGTAAGAGAGATTTCCATACCCAATTGAGTGTGCATGTTACTCCTTCCGTAAGCCAAATTCAATGAAAGTAAGATTCATTCTTTCTCTCTCACCTCCCCCCTTTACTGTAAAAGCTTTTTCTTGTCTGTTTTATGTGAGATAATTTACCCCATTCTACCTCTCCCATTTTCCTTCTCCCAGTACATTCCTCTCTTGTGCCTTACTTGTCTTTTTTAGATATCATCCTATCATCCCTTCATATTCAACTCACCCTGTGCCCTAATAATGAGAAAGGTCTCATGAGTTACAAATACCATCTTTCCATGTAGGAATGTAAACAGTTCAACTTTTACAAGTCCCTTATGATTTCTCTTTCCTGTTTACCTTTTCATGCTTCTCTTGAATCTTGTATTTGAAAGTCAGTTTTTCTATTTAGCTCTGTCTTCTCAAGAATGCATTAAGTTCCTCTATGTCATTGAATGTCAATTTTTACCCCTCATTGATTACATTCAGTTTTTCTGGGTAGGTGATTCTTGATTTTAATCCTCATTCCTTTGATTCTTGTCTGTAATCCTATCTCCTTTGATCTCCAGAATATTATATTCCAAGCCCTCTGGTCCCTTCATGTAGAAGCTGCTAAATCTTGGGTTATTCTGATTGTGTTTCCACAATACTTGAATTGTTTCTTTCTGGCTGCTTACAATATTTTCTCCTTGACCCGGGAGCTCTGGAATTTGGCTACAATATTCCCACTCTGATTAGCCACTTGATCTCCCCACCATGTGGGCTGAGAGCTCTGGCAGCGGCTGCCGCCCCAGGGCAGCCCAGGACTGAGGCCTGACTGACCTCCTCTCTCACCGAGGTCTGACAGATCTTTCCTACTGACCTTCTAAGTCATCTTTGGCATTTGTGGGTTGAGAAGTCTGCAAACCACCACAGTGATTCAGTCCCCTGAGGCCTGCTACAGGTTTGCTGAGGCCCGGTTCTTTGCCTGTGTGGCCCACGCTTAATTGTGCTCCTCTCCCAGTCTATCACAACAGACCTTTCCCATCAACCATCCAGGCTGTCTTGGGCTGGAAATTTGTTTCACTCT